GGTCATTAAAGAAATGCAAATCAAAACCACACTGAGATACCATCTCACGCCAGTTAGAATGGTGATCATTAAAAAATCTGGAGGCAACAGATGCTGGAGAGGATGTGGAGAAATAGGAACACTTTTACACTGTTGGTGGGAGTATAAATTAGTTCAACCATTGTGGAAGACAGTGTGGCGATTCCTCAAGGATCTAGAACTAGAAATTCCATTTGACCCAGCAATCCCATTACTGGGTATATATCCAAAGGAGTATAAATCATTCTATTATAAAGACACATGCACACATGTTCACTGCGGCACTGTTTACAATAGCAAAGACCTGGAACCAACTCAAAGGCCCATCAGTGATAGACTGGACAAGGAAAATGTGGCACACATACACCATGGAATACTATGCAGCCATAAAAAACGATGAGTTTGTGTCCTTTGTAGGGCCATAGATGAATCTGAAAACCATCATTCTCAGCAAACTGACACAAGAACAGAAAAATAAACACCGCATGTTCTCACTCATAGGCGGGTGTTGAACAATGAGACCACATGGACACAGGGACGGGAGCATCACACACTGGGGTCTGCTGGGGGAGAACAGGGGAGGGACAGCAAGGGGTAGGGAGGTTGGGAAGGGATAACAGGGAGAAATGCCAGATACAGGTGACAGGCGGATGGTGGCAGGAAACCACGTTGCCATGTATGTACCTATGCAACAATCCTGCTTGTTTTACACATGTACCCCAGAACCTAAGTGTAATAAAATATATATAACCTCTCTGTGTCCATCTTGTGAGCATTTATTCTCACTTCAATGTGACGGCTTTCAACAAAAAAGGAAGAGACCTCTGAAGTCAGAACTGTACAAACATTAGTGGGCTGCCATGGGAGAAAGTTGCTCATCCTTGGAATTGTTCAATAATAAACCAGATGCTCGATTCACAGCAAAGAAGTAGACAATTCAAATGCAAGTCAGGCAGTTGAACCAGGTACATGTCAGACTTCTCATTTTAAGTTCCGATTCAAAGATAATAGAAGTGGTCTACTGAAAAATCTCTATTAAATGTTAAGTTTTGCATAGCCAATAACTAGATCCTTAGATACATCTATGGATTTTTCCTTATGATGGATATAAACTTACAGGCTATATGCCTGTCATCGAATTGGAAACAAACAGCTTTGAAACTCAACTAAATGAACTGAAATAACGCACAGGGATCCTCTTCTTCATGTACATCCCAAGATAAAGCCAGACAGAGGCTGCAAGCTCCAACTATGTTAGAGCAATTAGGAACTCTCGCCCACACTCTGGTTTCACATTCAGATGATAACCAGGGGTAGAAGTAGTACTATCTGCATTTCCTCATGAACGTATCCAGCCTATTCAACGTAAAAGCACGTATGACTAGAATTCCTCTCAGAATATGCCTCAATCAATTATACAAACAAGTTACTTTTTGTTTTTTGAGACGTAGTCTCACTCTGCCCCACAGGCTGGAGTAAAGTGGGGAGATCTCAGCTCAATGCTGCAACAACCTCTGGGACTCAAGAGATTCTCGTGCCTCAGCCTCCCAAGTAGCCGGGATGACAGGCCTGCGCTACCACACCTGGCTCATTTTCATATTTTAGTAGAGACAGGGTTTTATCATGTTGGCCAGACTGGTCTCAGGCTCCTAGCCTCAAGTGATCTGCCTGCCTTGGCCTCCCAAAGGGCTGGGATTATAGGTGTGAGCCACATGCCAGGCCAAACGAGTTACTTTATTTTCTCAATAGATGTATCTTTTAGGAGTTTCATCCAAGTTTGTATGTATTTGATGAGACAGTGATAATTGCTATAACCTCAAGCTGTATTCCCACTGTGAATTTTCAAGATGTATAATAATCATCCCAAAGTTTAGAGGACAAAGGCTCTGTCATAATATTTCAACTAATATAAGCTAAAGTATAGCTTTCATGTATACTGTTCATTGTTTAACACAAGGGAACTCTTCAATAAATGGTTAGCAAAGTCAACTTTCAGGATAAATGGTGTATGTATATGATGAGTAGGTAAACTGAGAAAAGGATACACCTAATGTATTATCTCTTTAAAAGAAAATTTATTTTTTAAGATCTACTAAATTTAGGATCTAAAACAATATGTCTTGTATTTATGGTGTTCTTAATTGTTCACTAACTTTCAATAATTAAAAAAAAAAAAACAGCACTGACTAAATACAACAATGATCCTTTATAACTACACTGTCTCTAAAGAAAGTTACTTTTATGGTTATCTCATGCTACAGTTCCTAATAAGCCAATAATTATTCTTTGTAAAGTAAGAATAATGCTCTTTTGTTTGAAACCATATACAATCCAATAGTAATAGAATGTATTTGAAGACATAAAAAAGGATTTTTTGTGTATATTTGTCTCTTTTCCTAAATTTGCATATTCCAAGCTAATAAAACATTTCTTAACAATTAAAATGATTTTGTTTTAAAAACATTTTTGGAATCCTATAACTTTAGTTTATTTTCCATTCATCAGTGTCACACAAATTTAAGCGGATACTAAATCTATAGGTAATTTTTTTAAAAACCAAGGAAGGTAATTCAAAAATCCAGTCTTAATAGCCCCTTCCTTTTGTCACACTCAGTATGGACTTTAATTAGAAAAACTTATGACATATGACAAACCTATAGCCAACTTCTTATCAAACAGGGAAAAGTTGAATGCATTCCCTCTAAGAACTGTAACAAGGATGCCCACTTTCCCACTCTTATTCTAAATTCTAGCCAGAGCAATTAGGAAAGAAAAAGAAATGAAAGGCATCCAAATTGGAAAAGAAGAAGTTAAATTATTCCTGTTTACTGATGGAATGATCTTATTACATACAGAAATCCTTAAAGACTCTACTAAAAAATTTTAGATTTGATAAAAGATTTCAGGGCAGTTTCAGAAAGCAAAATCAATGTGCAAAAATCAGTAGCATTTCTACACACCAATAACAATCTAGCTGAGAACAAGATCAAGAAAACAGTCTCACTTACAATAGCTACAATAAATAATAAAATGCCTAGAATATATTTGACCAAGGAGGTGAAAGATCTCTACAAGGAAAACTACAAAATGCTGAAAGAAATTGTAGATGACACAAACAATGAAAAAAACACTCCATGCTAATGGATTGAAGGAATTAATATCACTAAAATGACCACATTGTCTAAGCAATATATAGATTGAATGTAGTTCCTTTCAAAATACCAGCATCATTTTTTCACAGACTTAGGGGAAACAAAAAACAAAACAAAACAAAAACAATTAAAGTTCACATGTAACCACAAAAGAGCCTGAACAGTGAAAGCAATGTTGAGCAAAAAAACAAATTATACTACAAGGTGATAATAAACAAAACAGCATGATACTGGTATAAAAATAGGTACACAGATCAATGGAACGAAATAAAGAACCCAGAAACAAAGTCACATATTAACAGCCAACTGATCTTTGACAAAGCCAAGAAGAGCATGCACTGGGGAAAATCTACCCTTTTCAATAAATGGTGCTGGGAAAATTGGATTGCCATATACAGTGTAATGAAACTGGACTCCTATCTTTCAGCATGTACAAAAACCAACTCAAAATGGATCAAAGACTTAAGACCTCAAACTATAAAAATATTAGAAGACAATCTAGGCAAAATTCTTTTGGACAATGATCTAGGCAAATAATTCATGACTAAGACCTCAAAAGCTCAGGCAACAAAAACAGAAATATGGGACTTAATTAAACTAAAAGTTTAATTAATTAATTAAACTTTTAGTTTAATTAAGTTTACTGCTTCTGCGCAGTAAAAGAAATAGTCAACAGAGTGAACAGATAATCTGTAGAATGGAAGAAAATATTTGCTAACTATGCATTCTTCTGGAGACTCATATCCAGAAGGTCAAACAACTGAATAACAACAACAAAAACCAAAATAATCCCATTAAAAAGTGGGAGAAGGACATGAATAGACATTTTCAAAAGAAGACATACAACTAGGCAACAGACATATGAAAAAAATGCTTAATATCACTAATCATCAGAGGAAACTCAAGTTAAAACCACAATGGGACATTATCTTTCACCAGTCAGAATGGCTATCATGAAAAAGACAAAAATAGTAACAGATGGTAAGACTGTGGAGATAAGAGATCACTTACATGCAGCTGGTGGGAATGTAAACCAGTACAACCTCTGCTGAAAAACAGTATGGAGATTTCTCCAAGAACTAAAAATAAAACTACCATTCCATCTACCAATCTCATGACTGACTACCCAAAGGAAAAGAAATCACTATCAAAAAGATGCTTCCACCTGTATTTTTATTGTAGCACTATTCCCAACAGCAAACATACAGAATCAACCAAAGTGTTCATCAATAAATGATTGAATAAAGTATAATACATATACGCAATGGAATAATAGCCATAAAAAATGAAATCATGTCTTTTGCAGCAATATGGATGGAAGTGGAGGCCACTATCTTAATTGTCATAAGTCAGATACAGACAAATACATGTTCTCAGTCACAAGTGGGAACTAAATAATGTTTACACATGGATGCAGAGTGTGGAATGATAAGCAGTGTAGACTCAGAGTATGAGGGAGTAGGGGGTGGATAATGAGAAACTCCTTAATGGGCACCATTGTAAGTTATTGGGGTGATTGTACACCCTGAAAGCCATGACTTCACCACTATGCAATCTAATGCAACAACATTACACTTTTACCCCACAAATTCATACAAATAAAAAATAAACACTTTGATAACTTGTAATACCAGAGGCAGTACAATTAGACAGCAGTTCTACACCTTAAAAATAATACATATAAAATAAACATTAATATTTTTATGTACATACATGCACATATCATATACGCACATATATTTACTTTATAGATTCTATCAGGTGAGAACTTTAAAATTTCTTGGAATAAATGAAAATGAAGCAAATGACAAGGAAAAAACATCCTCTTACCTGGTAGATATCAGAAAGACTGCTGCTTCCAGAATCACTAGTGATACTACATCCTGAATGGCTAGAAGAAACGTGGGTCACCTGTGGGTGGAGACTGTCAGTAAGATGCAGTTTTGTGAAATCTGCAGGAAGCTATGGAAGGAGCAGGAAAAACTAGGATTACAATGTGAATCAAGAACTCCAAGAAGCCATTTTAAAATTAAAATATCATATTTTATTCTATACCATTGAACTAAAAATGGTATTCGTTTTCCAAATCCACAAATTACTAAATTATGTCCTATCTACCAAAAATCACATAATAATTTTTAAAGTGTATGGGGACATAATGAACCTTAAATAACACTAAATTCTTAAAAAGGTGGGTATGGTGATTAAGATAAACTTGAGTATTTAATTTAGTAAGCTAAAATTTTCCAATCACACATCAATGAGCAAATTAGGCTACTACTATTTATTAGCCAGTACAATGCAACTTTGTGGCAAAAAGCATTTTGAACACAGATTTAAGCTTCTTCTATACCCAAATGATGTTTAAAGGTTAAAAAGAGAGCATCTTGGAATCGATGAAGTGTACTGTCACACAAGCAACTGAACTAGGCTCTATGAAGAGAAACGAATGCCATCAAAGAACATAGAATTGAAAAAGTTATGGACAACATTTACCTATCTGTATTCATATACATAAATATCAATTTTCTACATGTTCATGTTTAAATAAAAATAGTCTCTATGAAAATAAGCACATTTGCTAAGCATCCCTTATCCCTTCTACCACCCCTCATATACCAGAGAAAATGCATTAAAAAAAAAAAAAACACTAATACATTGGTTTATTTGACAAATACTTACTGAGCCCCTTTTCTCTTATTATGCCCTAGACAAGTGAGAATCTAAGAAAACAGATGTGAGATTCTTAGAATCTTACACTCTTATTAGTTATTGCCAATTCTTTTGAATTAAAAATGTTTTTATCTATATCATATATTATACTCCTGAGCTAATAATAAAAAGCATTTCAAAATACATATTAACTAGAATCATAAAATACTGATAACATTCCCTCTTTCTTGCATATTGATCCTATTTAGCTGGTGAGAATAGTTATAAATATAGGGACTAATTGTTAAAATTTAAATAAACATTAACCTCAGTAACATCCCTGTCTACCTTTTGAGGTTCATTCCCTCTCCTCCTCCAAAATGTTACTGCATAGTTTAGAGTAAGCCTCACAAGAGAGATGCCAAATAAATGGAGAAAAATCCATTTGTTGAGGGAGCTTGGAGATGTGAAATAATCGCAAACCTATCTTACTAACAATGTTTTTAAGGAAACTGGTAATTGAAGATGTTGTAAAATACATAATATGTAAGAGAATAACAACTTCTCTGTAAGGGATAGGCAATACCTCTAAATTAAGAATTTGTATGGTTCATTCCTAATGTAGAGTAGTGAAATATTTGCAGGACTTCTTCAGGAACAATTCAAAGACAGAAGTTTGCAGATATGTATTAATGACTATGATACATGTAGCTAAATGATGGTGATCAGATATTAAAATAAATAATATGTTCATAGGCAGGATAGATACTCTTCACCATCTTAGCTACACTTCCATTTAATTCAGTCACTTACTGCAGAAGGCAACTGGGGAAACACTACTCTATGGCTTAGAGGTGTTAAAAGGCATCAATCAACATATGTAATTAGAGAAAATAAACTGATTTCTATTGATTGTCTTTTACAGGCATGGCTCAGGTTGATATGCCACATAGTGTGATCTATTTTTTTTAACTTAATGTGTCAAATGAAGATAAAGCTATCTAATGAATTTTTACATTTTATTTATTTAGGTCTCACAGGACTCTCTTCAGAATCCATCATCTGCGTATCTTCCCTAAGAATTCATTGTCTGAAGAGCACAAGGAACTGTAAGAGCTCCCAACCTAACATAAGAGACATTTATTCAGTTTTTATATACCACAATCTATTCACCTGTGCCTACTTACAGTCACAAATATCAGAATTATATGGAAATGTTAGGCCCAGAACCACAAAGACTGTCAAAAGAGAAAGAAATATTTTTGCTTGTAAAATTTCAATTCTACTTAATAAATACTTATTGAGTACCTGCTATGTCATATACTCTGCCAGGGCAGAGAATATCAAGATGAGTAAGACATTCCTAATTCCAAACCTCCATCATCCCCAAATTCACTGTGACAGGTGTTAGAAACAATAGAAAATAATTTTTTTTTTTTTTTTTTTTTTTTTTTTTTTTTTTTTTCATTTTAAAGACAGGGTCTTGCTCCATCGCCCAGCTGGAGTGTAGAGGCACAACCATGGCTCACTGTAGCCTTAAACTCCTGGGCTGAAGTGATCCTTCCATCTCAGCCTTCTGAGTAGTTGGAACTACAGGCACATGCCACCACACCTACCTAATTTGTAAATTTTTTGTAGCTAATAAAGGGGCCTCTCTATGTTGCCCAGGTTGGTCTCAAACTTCCGGCCTTAAGCAATCTTCCCTCCTCCTCAGCCTCTCAAAGTGCTAGGATTACAGGTGTGAGCCACTACATTGTTTTTATCCCTTTCTCCCCACTATCTGTGTTCTTTGCAGAATAGCATGAAATAATGACATATCAGAGTACATGCATATATAAATCAGCATTAATTAAATACCTTTTAATATGAGATGTAAGAATGGATGCTATGTTCAAAAAAAACTTAAAAATATTTTCCCACCAATTAGGATAACAATAGTATTTTTTTTCTTTTCTTTTTTTGAGGGGAGACAGAATCTTGCTCTGTCGCCCCGGGTGGGATGGGGTGCAATGAGGTGGTACAATCTCAGCTCACTGCAACTCCACCTCCTGGATTTAAGTGATTCTCCTACCTCAGCCTCCTGAATAGCTGAGATTACAGGTGCCCACCACCACACTGGCTAATTCTTTTTTTCTTTTTTTAAGCAGAGACAGGCTTTCACCATGTTGGCCATGCTGGTCTCAAACTGCTGGCCTCAAGTGATCCACCCACCTTGGCCTCCCAAAGTGCTAGGATTACAGGCATGAGCCACCTCGGCTGGCATTATTATTAAAGTTTATTGACAATACACATCAGTCAAGTTATGGAATGGGAGATGTTATAAAAGGTGTTCTCATAAGGAAAGAAACTGGAATGCACTGATCTGGCTCTGCCATGACACTCTAACAGAATAGAGACCTGAGCCCATGCCTAGTAAAAATGGAGTTTCTAGGAGGCAAACAAACCTTGTTGGGGTTGAGGGTCATGAGGTAGACACAGGTGCAGATGCTCACATTTAAACCCAAGGGCATCAGAGCAACACAGATCTGAGATATATATACAAGAAAGGTACACTATGACAGCAAGGATCACTTACTCTAAACTTTTTTTGAAGCTTGACCCAGTGCCAATTTAAATTACTAAGTATCAGTATGCTATTTAATTAAATTACAGATTAAATTGGGTTGTGAATTATCTTGTGACTGTAGCCACCATTTATAACAGAAATTTTGTTCAAAAAAGTAAGTTTTTTTGGTAAAGCTAGAAATAATTACCTAAATAAAATCAATAATTAATTAAACGAGAAATTAACACATTTTATGTATTTTTAATACCAATGTATTTCCCAACAATTAAGAACACAATTCGAAGGAATTTTTTCACCTATATTTTTCATTTTTATCACTTAAATATTTTTAATATTTGATTGTATAAATACATTACTGCTCAAATATTTTTCCTGGAACAAGAAACCTATAGTCATAAAAAACACTATCTGTGAATCACAATTTTAATAAACTACTCTTTGGCAAATGGTTGAATCAAAGTTTAACTACAAACACTGCTAAATACATAAGAAACAAGGGTAATATTTAAATCAGATTCTTACATCAGACTTAAATCAGATTATGTTAATTATATATTTAAACCAGATTATATTAATTTTAGGTTTATACTTATATGTTTATGCTTATAAACCTAAAATTAATCATAGTTTAATGAAATCTTGGTATCATTTGTATAATAGTTTTTTTTTAATAATGTAGGACAGAGATGCTACCATAATCAGATCTGAAAACATAAACTCTACACATTAAGTTTCTATAATATATAAATAGAAATTTGATAATCACTGATTTATTAATCTAATGGTTGGCATTTATAAAATTATTAGCTAATAAATGAACTTTATCTTGAACATAAAGACAATGAGTATGGATGCCTTGAAGTCTCTGATACCAATCAGAAAATACTCTGTTAAACTGGCAAAATACCTAAAATTGGTAACAGTGTAATGGAGACAAGGGTGGCTGCCCTTCTTCTTCCTTTCCATACTGAATTACTGATATAATTACTGATATAGCCCAGAATCTGTGGTACCAGATCCCCAAGTGTAGGGGATGAGTTTTGCGGAATTCTATTAACAACAGAGGAATTTTTTTCTCTCTCTTTTTTTAATGTAAGAGTCATAGTCCATGATACATATATATCATCATCATCTTAGGACCGATGAGAAATCCAACAGTTAAAAACAAAAAATACTGTCTATTGACTGAAATGTATTTAATTGTTAATTTCCCAAACTAATCTTGGAACCACTTTAAGTAACAATTACAATAGAATGCACAATGTTTGGGGTGATCACTGGAATCCAGTCAATCTTCCCAGGTTTCTTACCTTGAATAAAACTATTTAAAGTAAATTAAATATCACACTTAGTGACTAAACTAACTTTGTATTAAGATGCATCACTCAGAATTTACCCAAATGAACTCTGGTTTTCCCATTTCATCCTTAGAGTTCTGAGTCTTTATGTTCATGTTTTTAATCTCTACAAGGTAGAGTCAGTATATTACTAGACATACTTTCTATTTTTCTGAGGTATTTGTAAAAAATAAAGGATACTATATTTTTATTCAGCATTCATCCATCATTTATTGAAAGCCTGTGTTGTGAGGACCGAATAAATGAATGAGTGTGAAGGACTTACAGAAGTGCTTGGCACACAGAAGTGACTCAAGAAGCATTAAGTATAGATCATCACAAACCAGACTCTACAAACTGCAGGTCCTTTCCAGCTTCATGATTCCTGTAGCTGGAATCTAACCCTA